TTAGGAAGAGAAAGTCACTTTTACTTCTTGCTTATGGACGTGAGTAAAAACTGGTTACTGTTTTATATTACTTGAATTGTATACTGAATTCAGTGATTTTATGTTATTGGAAAGAAAGTAAGGTAGTCCTTGATACTGCTCATTTAAAATGACTTTTTGTGTAAGAGTTGGTCATTTGTTGATTACTAGTCGAGTATCTCACTAAGATGAAATTCTGTTTCATAAGTGAAATGTCCTCTATGGTTGATTCAACTTTTAAATTCTTAGAGATCATACTAAATTTATCGAACAAGTTTGTCCTTATCCCGAGAAAAACGATTTTCCACATAGTATTAATAGTACGATTATTACTAAGGATACCGCGGACTAGGGAGATGAAGACTTGGTTTGAAAAAAACTTGGTAGTGTTTGAGTGTCCAATTATTCCTCCGCGATATTGGATACGTTTTCGTTGATCTTTTCATTCTAGATAGTTTCATGAATCTACTCAAGCGATGAATTGGAATGTATCTTTGCAGTGCCACGAATATAATACTACCAGTTTATATATTTTGATATTAACTGGTTGTTTGTTTATATATAACTACGTTAACCTGTACTTGATGCAATTGATTACTACTTGTTTTGAAGTGCTTTTAGTTATACTATTTCGTTCCAACCAAGCATTACTGGGTACGGTATAGTCATTTGGCAGACAAGAATCTGGTATGAGATTTCAGTCTTTTTTCAAGTATTCGCATTTTAATGCGTTGCTTGTTAGAAACGTTCAAAGTTGTCTATTGAAATATAGCCTTAGTAATGAATGGAGTCAATGTGTTAGACAAGATAACGGCACAACTCGATGCATACAAAAGTTGAATCAACTTTTCCATTCAAAATCAATTGTTTGATAGTAAGACTAATATACGTTGTTATTTTTTAGGGGTATCTATGAGAGAGTTGGTTGAATTGTCATTATGTGGACATTGGGTTATCCAATAGAGTTTCTGTTAGATAGTGTTTTTATAAGATGGCTTCTTTAAGGTAGAATTGATACTTTATTGACTACTAGTTGTCGAGTTGATAAAGACTTTGTACCTTTGCACTCGAAATCTTGCTGTTGTATGTACAGAGTCTTTATATCCGAAGCAGTGTTTTATGTGGTCTTTAGGTACCCTGTATGCTTGATTCAGCGTCGAATCGTCCAAGATTATCTTGAATTGACAAAAATAATTTAGTCTGTAATCTAAAAGGATGATTTACAGACTATTATTTGGATCACTTAGAATCAAGTCGAAGATGAATTCATTCGAGAATCACTAGGTGAGAATCCGAATTGTAGCAAAGCATCAATTTTTCCTTGATATTTGTATGCTGTTTGCAATATTAGGGTAAGCCGTTGTCCATAATTCAGTTAAGGTACATTTGTGGATTGACTTTCATATAGAATGACAATGTGTTTCTGGAATATTGAGAACATGTTACTATTGATGAGCATAGATTAATCAGCTTCTACAACTCTTGTATCTGTACGGAATTCAATAAGGCTTTGTTTGAATTCACTGATTCCTATCAGTATTGGTGAGAACGTTCTCGCTTTACTGCTTTGGCACCAAGCTCAACTTGCGTCATAGAATCATTATTTTTTTGATAAAGGTATTGTGCTAACAGTCTATTGCTTGTTTCTATTGACTGGTCGGAGAGTAGTCATCATCTTGTTATCTTGTCTTTTCAAGAAAGTTGCAATTACTGAACACTAAAAACTGAACTTTAATTGAAATGAAGTATCACATCGATAAACTATACTATTCATATAGTACAGAATCATTTGATTTAGAAGAAGACTCAACTAGATTGCAGACGATTGGTCACAAAGGAGCTGCAAAATGAAGCAAAGTAACCTTGCTGATACAAGCTATTGAATCTCTTTTTTCATGTTTATATGTTATATAGTACAAGATGAAGAAAATGATTCTTTTCATTTCAACTTTTATACAACTCGCTAAACAAAAAATACACCAATTTGCTTTGGAAGAAAATATATGATGAAAGATATAAAGTGAAAAAAGAAAAAAATGGCTTTCTAGTTTAATAGACTACAGAGATAGTGTTATGAGCCAAAAGTCTTGACTTTGATTCTCTCTAGAAACATCGACGATACTCTTGTCGTCATTAATAGAAAAAGTATTCCCTAGTAGTATCTCATACTGGTAATAGTAGAGCGTTTATGGCATTTTGTTTTGTTTATCCATTCTACTGATATGCATGACCTGTATTTGAACACCATAAGATAAAAAGTAGGCTGTTGAAACAATATGTTTAATGTTTGTGTATTTCATGGCATCCCTAATCGTTATAAATTGTCCAAAGCTTCAAAGACCTGATTACTTTAGGCATTTTTTATTTTTTTCACACTCACTTTATTCTTCTTCTTCCCTTTTTTTATATCTAAAATGAATATCATACAATCCTCACTGATAGAATACAATCAAATTTCTATTCGAAAAGGTAAAGTTTAGAATAAAGCAAGGCATATACAATCTTACTTGCAGAATCATTATTTGCATTTCTGTAGATATTATTCTCTATATAGCTGTAACTTTCTTTACTGGTTTGGAAAGTGTAGACAACAACATTTATAGGAAGAACAATATCAAGTTTATGATTCAACTCGATCTCGACACTAGTATTCCATGAAGAAGGATATCACTCCTCATCATACTCGACGAATGGTTTCGAGTTCGACCTAATCAATCTATCTTATGTCAATCAACAACTTGACCGCAAAGAAGTTGCTTGTATTTATTTCATTGCAAAAATTATTGAGGTCTCGGTATAAACTGGCAGAAATGGTTACAAAAGCAGAATTTACTATATGATTTGCACATTTGACGACAACAATAACAGCAACTCTTAGAAGAGATAGGACAACCCTTCTCACTACAGCATTGTTCTCGAAGAGTCGTGAACATAGTATTTCTTCTATAGTTCGTCATTTATTTAGAATTGTGAATGGTGTTTTACGACCACTCGCTTTGCCTATATTAAAAACTCAATACGTTTCTCATTTGTGGAAGGGATACATTTTTCTATCTAATCCACAAGACTAGAGACAATAGGGATATGAGCTAGTGTCCAGGAATCAATTTGAATTCAGCTGATTTCATGATCATAGTTTCGGCTATGTTGAACCGAGTTTAAACTGTATTGAGTGGAAACAAGTAATTTTACAAAATAGAGCAATCAACTATTAAGAAAGAGAATAAGCTGAGTGCTTTGCTTGAGAGAGTCAGATCAATGTCGTTGAATTGAGAATAGTTTATGGTTTCTTGAAGCACCATTTATTCTCTTGTTCACTACGCCTTATCTATAGAATCGCACGAGTTGGTCATAAATAGAGTACGTTTGGTATTTATCATATCAGTTATGCCTAGTTACAAGCTCAATTTGGAGTTGTCGAGAGAGGGGCTTCAATCTATCTTGGCTACTTTTGTATTGAACTTGGTGTCAAATAGAACGACTTGACCTTGTTCATATGAATTCATATTCTTGTTTTGAATACTGTATTTGAAGAGTACCTATTATATGCTATTTGAATTTACCCTTAACTTTTTTTTCACTGTTTATCACACAGCAAATCATGTAACTTGGTTTCATAAAAGCCTTGGTATCGTTGAGACTATCAAGTTTATGGCTATGAATTGTATAGTTTTTATAGAACTCAGTTGTCATCAATCTGTTCCATCAAAGATTGATTTGATATTGGGACATGCATGCTGTCGCAGTTAACTACAGAATCATATACATATGAGACAATTCGACTGAATTGGACGGAACTGTATGCTTGGCAACTTTAGAGATCATTCCTATTTAGATAGAAGAACGCAAAAGTTCGGTTTTATGTTGTTTGAAAGATTTGAATCCACATGATAACTTGAAAAGATTGACGAAGAAGTACTTTGATCATAACCTTTGATTGTTAGTACTTCAAGTCATGCTGAGACATATAGTTATGTCCGTTTACTTCCTTTCGTGAAAAAAAGTTGTCTCTTATCTTTGTTATATTACGTTATTACAAAATCAAGTTGATAACCTGGTACCGCTTTTACTAGTACAGGTTGCCTTTCACAGCAGACTCTTTGTTATCTTTATGGATGAAGAATTTAGTTTGGTTTGTGTTGATTCATTGATTGAATGATTGATTGTTTTGTGTTATACTAGCCTATTTATTTATCAAGTGACAAATAATTGCACTTGGGTTTGTGAAATTGACTGATTCCAGTATTTGATGAATAGTAGCAGGACAACTCTATTTAAAAAAGTGCTTTAAGAATTCACTTTAGACAGGTTGTTGATTTGCGAGTCAAAGACAAGTTGTACCATAGAAAAAGATATATACAAGGTAAGTGATATAAATAGGAGTAGTTTCATTTTGCATTCTCAAGATGAATACGGACTGGATTGGACAGTGCTAATAGAATGAAATGGGTTGTTTGAAACAAACTGGGGTTTCTGTCCATCATGAGCCTTATAGCTCATCAAGGTCCTTTATCATGGCACTATAAAACTCTCTGTCCCATAAGAACAGTCGTTATATCCTAGACTTTGGTTCATATAGTATTTATATATCCTCGATAGTCTATTTAATACCGATTGCTTCACGATTGTATGGATTTATTGGAAGAATTTACCCAAGTAGAGTTGGCGGACGAAATACCAACGAGTACTAGTATTCTTTCATCTAAATACACAGAGGACAATCTAGTTGATAGTTTGCTTGACAAGAGTCATAATGGGAGAAAATCCCCAAATTCTCTCTCGTAGTTGTAAATAACTTTTGATACTAAACAGATCGTTGACCGAAACTCGTTTGAGTCTGTTGTTTCCAGAATTGACCTAGTGTTGAATCATATTGGTATACTGTAAAATGAAGATTTTGTTGTTTCCATTGGGTGTGATTCTGCATAGTATGTTGAGCACCAATATACACACTTTTTAGTGATTTTTTCTGCTGATGGGAGAAGGTGGGCAATTTGGAAAGAGTGGCCGATTGTGAATGGGCCCGCGCAATTTTGATTTGAAAATTGCCATTGTGGGTGTGGTGGGAAAGAGTGGGTAAATTGGAAATGGGAGAGAGTAGTGGAAATTGCGATGGGGGGAAATGGGTGGGGTAAGGGGTGTGAGGAAATTGAAGAGGGGCCAACCCAAAGGCGATTTTGATTTGGAAATTACCATTATGGATGCGGGGAAGAATGGGTAAATTGGAAATGGGAGAGAGTGGGGAAATTGCCATGGGGGAAAAATGGGTGGGAAAAGGGGTGTGAGGAAATTGAAGAGGGGCCAATCCAAAGGCGATTTTGATTTGGAAATTACCATTATGAAAAGAAAAGGGCCAATTTGGAAAGAGCGGTCAATTGGAAATTGTGAGGATAGTGTGTGTAAAAATCAATAAAGCCATTTAAAACAGTAAAAGATCATTCCAAGAAAGTTAACTTTGATTTCCACAGTGATAACAAAATATTAAGAGCCAATGCTTTAAAGACACATTCTATGCAAAAGAAGAGAAGAATGACAAAAAATGGTTATTTTTTTTAACTCTTTTCAAAAGTACTTGTTTTGAATAACCATAACAAAAAAATACGTTTCAATTCAGCAAAATCACAGTTTGTAATATGTTTAGGTTCCACCTCAATATTGTTTGAAATGACTCCTTAAAAATGGACAAGTACCCTTGAGAGTAACGAGTTTGGAAAAACACAAGTAATATTGAG